AAAGGTGGTGTCTATTTACTTGTGACCACGCTGTGTATGTTTCATATGTTCGCGCAAGGGCTACTTACGTTAGTATCCTTAACTTGTATTAATAGACAAGAGGGAAGACAGCTAGTCAACAGCACCCTCCGCCCAGTATTGGGTTTCTTTAATCAAATAGTGGGATTTGACCGTCGATCTTATATTGCACAAGCAGTTTCAAAGTGCGAAGCGAGATTTTGCTACAAGGGAATAAAAACCATGGACATTCCGATTCATAGTTTGGCATGCTAACCACTGTATCATGTTTTAGATATTTATACAAAATAAACATTTCTGTAGTCGCCCTAAATTTACGCATGTGACATTCACACAACAGAGCTGTATTATAAGAAAACAAATACCTAGCACAGCTTTATTATGTGGTATATCTAAATAAACCTTATGAGTTACACTGGATAGATTCGCCAGATAACAGGAGATTCGCTCAAGATATCATTTACGTCATTGTACTAGACATCTTACTAACTAGGTCAATGTAAGATGAAGTATCTTTATTCAACACTAAACACAAACACAGCGTGTGTACTTGCTCTTATTCATTCAGGACACTCGACTGTACTGGATCACAAGACTAACTAATGAAGAACAAGTTTCATATAATACTATCAAAATGCCGCTCCAGACCAGATTGATTAAATGTAACATTCTTTAGGTCACAAGAGGCCTCGTATTTACCCATAGTCAAATGTGTTACCCCATGATCAATCATTCTCATTACAATATAGGTGGAACTGTTACCTCTAGATATCATCTAAGCAAACATTGAAGGATACTCTTGTTGACATTCCTACACAATGTGTCATATTGAAAAATATCCTCGTGGATATTAACAGATATTATCCATTTCCGAGAACAGCAAAAGAACAAATGTAGTTCAGAACGATGTTCATCTTGTGGTAAATGAAATACATCAGCTCAAATTTCCGTTTTCACCTGTCTAAAAGTAACACCTTCCTTATTCGTCACAGTTACTAATGGAGACGACCAAACATTCTCCAAAAGTTGATGAGTCTGTCCTGAATATCAGTTGTATTTCAGTACTTGCAAGTTTCCTAGTCCTGCAAGAAAACTAGTAAAGCAATTGTTTTATTGGATTTGAATCACCTATGTTTATGTGATGTTGGAGTCGCCATCATTCAATTCAATCAGCATCTCGTTCCACATATACATCAACATATTCAACCAACAAGTCACTGAGTTGTTTTCGCTACAATGTAATCTCCCTTGGAGGGCTTGAAAGATCAAAAGATCCACGAAGGGCCTTTTTTATCAGGAACTCTACCTCTTGCCCTTGCACTTTTACTGGTACATACTAAGCTCTATTCAGCCTTGATAATGCTGTGCTGGCCACTAAACCAAGCCCTGGGAGACATAGGCTGACCAATAAAATATTTGGTGCAAGCAGCCTGCTGTGCTCCTCCAAGCTAGTGGACAGATTTGACTTGGGCTCCATATGTTTTCCAGAGCAGCTGCAGCAGCATTTACTTCTTGCTACTGGTTATTCATGATTTGTTGAATTATCAGATATGCCAATAATCTTGCTTACCTTGCTTGTTGGCAAATTATAGGTGCTGTTGGTTGACTGGCATTTGCTGAGCTATTGGGTGGTATTGTATCCCTGCTGTCTTTGCTGCTTGGTAAAGTACAGAGAGTTCATGGGAAAGTGTCCTACCAGAACACTAGAAAACCAAATACTTAACTTATTCCGTCCTTAACAACGTCCAGGCAGAGGCATTACTGGCATAAAACTGCAGTATGTACACCATGGGCGAGCCTGGATAGTCTTACCTTCAATGAAAACCAATATGATTGCATCACATTGCTGAGATGTGCGAGTGGTAGGTTAACTCTCAGTATGGCTTTAGTATGTAATGGAAGAGCATAGATAGGTCAGTTCATTTAAAGTATAGCCACTACAGCTGTCACAACCGGCCTTTTCTTCTCTAATGACTTGCTTGAAGTTACAATTTCATACTGGGTCATGACGGAAACTGTTTCTGTCAAAGTGAGAATGTTTCCTATCCCAGATGTTGCCTCATGGCTTCAGTGGGAAGTCCTTCAATGAAAGTATCCATGAAGGTATCCTCTTGATCTGCTTCTGCCATTGCAAGTAGGCTTTAACATACAATAGACACATATCATCTGTGTAAGTGATCTGACCCTTGCTGATAACCCTCTTCTGATCCTTAAACATGCACAAATGCATTGCCTAATCCTCCAAAGGGTCAGACTGGTGTCACAACTCACCTTTATTTGTGCTCCATTCTCTCTTTGTACCTGGTCCAAGTGGTCAATATTATCCATATTTAGACCATCCAAGTTCAGTATCAGGCATTGAACTACTTGCTCCTGAGTCCAGCTGTTTTAGGCAGTTACCTGTCTGAAACACTCCAAGAATAGTTCAGGTTTTTTTTTGCTGCATTTTTGAACATCAGGGACAAGATCTGCGTTGCCTCACTCACAGGGATCTAAGGTGCTGGGCAAATCTTTTCCCTTCTAGCTTCTGGGCCCAATGCCAGACTCAGGTGCTGAATTTGTAACAAGTGTGGGGTATCAAATATTCACAGAGACTCTAGCACTTGCATCAGAAAATGGTTCATGGTTCATGGTGACAAGATATAATTTTGTATAATTTTGAACTAAGAAATCCTGCTTGAGTTCGACATGTAAACTTGGTTTCATTGTTCAGTTGACAGCATCACTTCATGACCTCAGTACTATGATTTGCTGTAACATTCTGACAATGACAGCTTTGCTTTTCCAATAATTCACAAAGACAACATTCCTTACG